CGAAGAGTGTGGTACACTAGGCTAAGAAGGGATTTGTGATAAAAATGGATTAGATCTAGTAGGGAAGTTTCAGTGGGATTATGGGGGAAGCAATGGAGAAAAAGGAGGAGGAGGACAACGGTTTGGGGAAGCCACAGTGATAATTAAAAGCCATAAATGAGGAGAGCTTGAACCAAGGTGCCCAATGTTGTCAAAGGTAGCAGAGTCATTTAGGAATGGAAATGGCTGAGCTCTGGAGATGCCTAAATGCCCAGGCCAAAGGAAATGAGGGAGGAGTTGAGGAGAATCTAGGTTTCTAGTTTGGGAAGCTGGGAACGGGTGATCAAACAATGGCGGGGTGGGGGTGGGGGCGAATTAGGATAAGACTTTGGGTGGATTGAAGCTCCTGACAAAAAAGGATTCATGAGGGGCGCCTGGGTGGCTCAGTGGGTTAAGCCGCTGCCTTCAGCTCAGGTCATGATCTCAGGGTCCTGGGATCGAGTCCCGCATCGGGCTCTCTGCTCAGCAAGAAGCCTGCTTGCTTCCCTCTCTCTCTCTGCCTGACTCTCCGTCTACTTGTGATCTCTGTCTGTCAAATAAATAAATAAAATCTTAAAAAAAAAAAAAAAAAAAAAAAGGATTCATGAGCCTCCAAGGGAGAGCTGAAAGGAAAGGCCAACTTCCTGCTGAAGTACATTATTCATTCATTCAACAAACACAGAGCATTACTATGTACCAGGCAGGCACTATACTAGGACATGGGGATATGGCAGTGAACAAGACAATAGCTCCTGCCCTTAGGAAGCCTACGGTGCCCTGGAGAATTCTGGGGACAGGAATACCCATCCTGCACTGAGCACCAGGGCCTACGTTAAATACTTTACCTGGATAATTCCACTTATAATCCTTATCACTTTAAGAAGTAGGTACTGTAACTATCCCTATAAAATAGGGTCAAATAACCTGAAAAGCTAAAAGCAACACAGCTGGAATACAAGCCGAGGCAACTCCGTGCTAAAGCCCACTTTCTTAACATCTCCCATGTAACCCAGGTGCAAGGAGAGGCTGGACTTTCCAAGGAATGAAAGTGGGGGCTGAGAAAAGCTTTGCCACCTTCTGAAAAAACAAAACAACAACAATAAACCAGCCATTCCTGAGTCCTGCGCCAGTTCTCCAGATACCCCAGGCCAGGGTGCAGCCAGGCTCCCTGGGGAGTTCTATTTGTCCAAATCTGGTGCTCGGTCCTGGGTGCAGGGGTCCTTCACTGGAAGTATGTTGAGCCTCTTTTCAACCTCTCACACCCCTCCAAGTCTCCATGCCAATCCCCTACCACTGACAGCTTCCATCACTTCTGCCAAAGAATGCAGTTCGTGCTTGGAAAAAAAAAAATCTATTCTATAACTCCATGGACATTAATAATTAACATCCATACCACAAAACTTGTAATATCAGTTTGCTGAAATAGTCACCAGTAAGTATGTAATTCTTCTTTAAAGGGTGTCTTCTATTATTATTATTTTAGAGTGCAATTTAGTCATCAAAGGTTTACTCAGCCTCATGTTTATAAATTATACAGGGCAGGGATTTAACTCTTCTGGACCTACCTGTTCTGAAAGAGGGAGGGTCATAACCCTGTTGTCACACCAGGCACCTGCCTTGAAAAGGAGATGATTTGTGAACTTGAAGTTCCTTACCACTTCTAGAAATCCAGGGTAAATATAGAGATTTTATTTTATGATGCAATCAGAGAAATAACCAGATAGTTGCCTGCCACAGAGGCATTGGCTTTAGTCCTCCTGAAGGCTGTTTGGAAACGACAGGTTCATCTTTTTATTAATCTTGTCTTTTTTTTTTTTTTGTTAAGATTACTTCACAGAGAGAGAGAGACAGAGAGAGAGACAGCGAGAGAGGGAGCACAAGCAGAAGGAGTGGGAGAGGGAGAAGCAGGCTTCCCGCTGAGCGGGGTGCCAGACGCTGGGCTTGATCCCAGCCAGCACCCTGGGATCATGACCGAGCTGAAGGCAGATGCTTAACGACTGAGCCACCCAGGCGCCCCCGGAATCTTGTCTTGATTGTATAACATGAGAATAATGTCTTTCTGATTCATCTGTGTAATACTGTTTTTTTTTTTTAAAGATTTTATTCATTTATTTGACAGACAGAGATCACAAGTAGGCAGAGAGGCAGGCTGAGAGAGAGGGGGAAGCAGGCCCCCCGCTGAGCAGAGAGCCCAGAGAGCCCCATGCAGGCTCCATCCCAGGATCCTGGAATCATGACCTGAGCTGAAGGCAGAGGCTTTAACCCACTGAGCCACCCAGGCACCCTTGTAATACTGTTTTTTCATTGGGGTGGAATACTTTTGTTGAAAGGGAAGGGTTACTGCTTTAGATAAATAAGAGCAAAACAAAAAACAAAAACAAACAAAAAAACCCTCATGCAGTGGCTACAGACTCCAAGTCCTGATTTACGTTGTTTACATGCCTAGGGAAATGGCTACCAATCAATTCATTGGGGTTTAGGAACCTAGGCCTTGATGTAAAAGTGTATAACGTTTTCATGCAATCCTCAAGTTCTAGCATCCCAAGAAATCTTTGCCATCACAATGAAAGGAGTGGGGGGAGGGGTAGCAGGTGTTTTCCTTTCTTGCCTTCTCCGTTTGAAAAGGGTAATGTTTTCAGAGTTAAAGTAACTGGGCTGCTCCTATGGAGTGAGGCCGTACCCTCCAGCCCGAGGGAGGGTCGGGTTTTCCCTGCTAAAGCAGCGCACACACCCCCCTCCCCGCAGGCCCTGGCCAAAGGATGGAAGTCATATTCAAAGGCGTCCAACTCTCTGGACCTAGAGGGATTCCTGTCGTTGGCAGAGGGGGCACAGTGGATTCACTCGGGATGAGATGCATTCCAAGAATGCTGCTGTGGTCGGCAAGAAGTGGAAAACTAGGGGATAACAAATACTCTGAGGAAACCTAATAGGTACCACAATCGCAGAACTCAAGTAACAGGTGACAACGACTTAAAGTAGGACGCAACAACTAGAGCGCTCTGTGAGAGTAAGCGAACACTCCGCCCCGTTTTGGGGATTCGACCCTTTTCCTCCTCCCCTTGTCTTTCCTGGGATCGACAGCGTTCACTGGAGAGGCGGCTCCGTGGAGAGGGCGGGTGGAGCCCGGCACTGCGCGCCCCAATCCAAACCAAACACTTCGCAAGCCTACGTTTAGCAGGCGATACCGAACACCACACTCACGTTGGAGCGGGGGGGAGAATAGTCAGTTTGCAGAGATGAGGGCGCAAACATTTCCCAGCTGGAAAATTACTGATCACAAACTAAGGGGACTGTGGGGGTGGGGAGGCAAAGTTATAAGGCTGAAATAACGATCACCGTTTCCTCTTCTCTTCCCGGTGGGCAGGAACGGCTGCCGCGAGCTCGTTGTGCCCTTTTCGGGAACCGGGGTCCCCCCGCACCGCTCCACTTCCTGGCACGTGGCCACTTTCCAGCTAAGTGCCTCTCGGTGGGCTTGACCGCTCGGAACCCTGAGCCAAGGGAGAGAACTCCCCGTCCGACCTTTACCTCGCCGTTTCACCTCTTTATGACTCAGTTTGCCCATCCATAAAGTGGAAAGGAGGGTGCGGGCTTGCGGGCTTGCGCCCTTGAGATTCTCGGGTTGAAAGGTGTCTGCGCCTCACGGCCCCTATGCCTTCTCCACCCCACAATCAATCTTAAGCCCTTTCACTCCCTTACTGGCTCCCCGAAATATCCAAACCATAACTCCGCTTCCCGCTCCAACCTCTTTCCACCCTTTCAGGCCTTTTCTGGTTCCCAATTCCGTCACAGTGCTGGGCACCCACCTTTCCTTGCCTCCCACCCCCATCCCACCCGGCCGGAGAACCCACGAAAAACCCCGCGAAGCCAAGCCAAGAGCCCGCACTGGCACTCGGGAGACCAGCGCCGGGCTGCTGCGCGCGCAGAAGAGGGACGAAAAGCTGAGTGAGTCACGCGGATAATCGCGCTTTTCTCTAGCGCGCAGAGTGCGCCGAAAGCACGGACCCGAGCGGGGGTGGGGGAGCGGAACCGACCCCTCAACCCCTACCAGACTCCTCCGCCACGGGCTTCGAACCCCCGGAGCGGACCACCGCGACGCAGACTGCCCTGGTCGCAGAGCGACCGGACGTGCGCCCAGTACGCACCGCCCCGCACCGGGACAGCAGCAGCCGCCGCAGCCGCCGCCGCCGCCGCCGCCGGGGCCGCCACCGCCGGCGTCAGCGCGGCTCCTGCTCGCCAGCTGCCGGGCTGGCGTCACGGCTCCGCCGGGCCCCGCCCGCGCCCCTCCCTCCCCCCCGCCCCCACGTGCGCCGAGTTTGTTTATTTAGCTTCCATGGCAACGCGCGGGGGGGCCGTAGGAGGGAGGGGAGAAGAAAGGGAGGGGGCGGGGCCTGGCGGCGGGCCGCGGCGTACAGCGAGTAGGAGGCGGGGGTAGGGCGGGAGCCGAGAAGTTAAGTAAGGAGCGCGCGGCGGCCGCCGGCAGTTCCCCGGCCCGAAACAGCGAGCGCGGCTGTGGGCGCGCGGGGAGCAGAGGCGGTGGCGGGCGGCGGCGGCACCGGGAGCCGCCAAGTGCCCCTCCCCGCCCCTCCGGCCCCCCACCCACCCACCCGCCCGCGGCCAGCGCCCATGGCCGCGCGCGCCTGGCGCAGCCCCCGGGACTCCGCACCCCGCGCCGCAGCCCAGTCCGCAGATCCGCGCCGCTGCGGCCAGTCTCACCTGGCGGCGCCGCCCGCCCGCCAACTCGGCCACAGCCCCAGCGCCCACGGCGACAGCCGCGGCGACCGCGACAGTGGTGGAGGACGCTGCTGAGGCGAAGAGAGCGCAGCTCGGCCACCGGACCTATTTACCGCCTTGCGCCTTGTTGATCGTCTGTTTTTACGAGTTTACAACTTTTAAGAACTTTCGTATACAAAGGAACTTTCCTTAAAAAGGCATCTCCCGTTTATATTCAATCCAACGAAGGATTTCGGGCAATTTGGGGTTTTGGCTTCGTTTCTAAGCCTTTTCTTTTTTCCTCCTAATTTTGGGGTTTGGGTACCCCCACTGCTTTGAACTCCCGAGGACCTTCTGGGCCCCCACATTAATGAGGTAGGTGCAACGTGGGGCGCGGGGTGGAGGGTGGTGAAGGCCGGTGGGACGCACCCGAGCGACGGTCGAGAGTGGCCCCCTGACTCCTGCCTCTGCCCCGCCCGGCCCGCAGGCAGCCACCTGGCGAGTCTGACATGGCTGTCAGCGACGCACTGCTCCCGTCCTTCTCCACGTTCGCGTCCGGCCCCGCGGGAAGGGAGAAGACACTGCGTCCAGCAGGTGCCCCGAATAACGTGAGTACTGTCCGGAGAAGTCGGCAGTGTCCAGTGGCCTTATGTGGGTGGGGTAGGGACGGGCGGAGCCCAGGGGTCCTCGAGACCCACCCGGCGGAGGGAAGGAGGGGCCACCGCACCGGCCCCGAAGTCGTTTTACGATGGTTTCCGTGTCCTTGGCTCGGTTGTACATGCGTGTGGTCCGGACGCTGGGGAGCCGCCGGGGGCGCACACCCGGTCCGCACACGTCTTGTAACTCGCAGGCTGCTGGGCTGGCGCGGGAGCCACCGGGCGGGAGGTGAATGGGTCCCTGGACACTGGCTGGGCCCGAGTGAGCTTGGCGCGTAGGCGTACCCGTGGCGAGGGCGCATAGGGAGATCCTCGGTGTCCCAATTCCAAAAGTGGCTGGAGCGTCCCCGGGATCTGGCTGGGGAAGCACCAGAGCTGCCCAGCCGCGGCGCTTGCTCTCACGAAATCGGGCAGACACAGTATTCTGAAAACCGACGCACCGTCTCTCTCCGGCTTGGGGATGGGCGGAGATCGCAGCACTGGCACCTGGAATCTGCCGGCGCTTGCCGGCGCTTCGTGTCTTTTTGGTCCCGGTGCCTGGGCGGTATAGGTGTGGGCAGGGTCACCAGTATGTGGTATGGCAGCAGGGGACCAATACCGACAGTTTTCTCTCCTATACCCGCAGCGCTGGCGGGAGGAGCTCTCTCACATGAAGCGACTTCCCCCGGTCCTTCCCGGCCGCCCCTACGACCTGGCGGCGGCGACCGTGGCCACCGACCTGGAAAGCGGCGGAGTCGGGGCGGCGTGTGGCGGCACCAATCCTGCTCTCCTACCCCGGCGGGAGACGGAGGAGTTCAACGATCTCTTGGACCTGGACTTTATCCTCTCCAATTCGCTGTCCCATCCGGAGTCAGTGGCCGCCACCGTGTCCTCGTCGGCGTCAGCGTCGTCATCGTCCTCCCCATCGAGCAGCGGTCCTGCCAGCGCGCCTTCCACCTGCAGCTTCAGTTATCCGATCCGGCCCGGAGGGGACCCGGGCGTGGCGCCAGGCAGCACTGGCGGCGGCGGTCTCCTCTATGGCCGGGAGTCTGTGCCTCCTCCCACAGCTCCCTTCAACCTGGCGGACATCAACGACGTGAGCCCCTCGGGCGGCTTCGTAGCTGAGCTGCTTCGGCCCGAATTGGACCCAGTGTACATCCCGCCGCAGCAGCCGCAGCCGCCAGGTGGCGGGCTGATGGGCAAGTTTGTGTTGAAGGCGTCGCTGAGTGCCCCTGGCAGCGACTACGGCAGCCCGTCGGTCATCAGTGTTAGCAAAGGCAGCCCGGATGGCAGCCACCCTGTCGTGGTGGCGCCCTACAGCGGCGGGCCTCCGCGCATGTGCCCCAAAATAAAGCAGGAGGCAGTCTCGTCGTGCACGGTTGGTCGGCCCCTAGAGGCCCACTTGGGCACTGGACCCCCTCTCAGTAATGGTCACCGACCACCAGCACATGACTTCCCCTTGGGGCGGCAGCTCCCCAACAGGACTACCCCGACCCTGGGTGCCGAGGAACTGCTGAGCAGCAGGGACTGTCATCCTGCCCTATCGCTCCCCCCGGGCTTTCATCCCCACCCGGGACCCAACTACCCACCCTTCTTGCCAGACCAGATGCAGCCACAGGTCCCACCGCTCCATTACCAAGGTCAGTCCTGGGGATTCATAGCTCGGGCTTGGGAGCCTTGCCTGTGCCAGCCCTCCGGGGAGCAGGGGATGATGCTGACCCCATCTTCTTCACTCTTAGAGCTCATGCCTCCTGGTTCCTGCATGCCGGAGGAGCCGAAACCAAAGAGGGGGAGAAGATCGTGGCCCCGGAAAAGGACTGCCACTCACACATGTGATTATGCAGGCTGCGGTAAAACCTACACGAAGAGTTCTCATCTCAAGGCACACCTGCGAACCCACACAGGTAGGAGAACAGAAACTGAGGGGGGCGGGGGGGGGGGGTTGGTCTGCAGCCCCATTGGTTAACTGTGGACATTCTCAGGGCCTCCCTTGGAGATGTGGGGCAGTCTATCTCCTCCATCTCGGATCAGAGGCGAGAACAGCAAACCAAACCGGCACCTCCTTTTTTGCCCAAGAGTCTTTTGCTTAATGGATGGTATCAGTGTTTGAATATGCAGTTCTGTTAGGCTTCTGAAAGGCAGGGAGATTCCAGGCTGCTTGTGGGCCTCTCCTTGTTTGAGCCAAAGCATTGGCCTTGTAATCAAGAAATTATTACATTTTGGGGGCTCCTGGCTGGCGCAACTCTTGATCTCGAGGTTGTGGGTTTCTACCCCAAGTTGGGTGTAGAGATACTTAAAAATAAAATCTTAAAAGAAATTAACACGTTCCAGTGCAAAAGTACGTTAGGTCTTGTTACTAGTTTTTAATTTTTAGGCGGTTTTCACTGGTTCATCCCAAATTTCATACTGCTTTTTATTTTTAGTTGTAGCCTTGGTAAGTAGGTTTTACTTGAATTTCAAGAATTAAGCGGTTGTGATGGCTAAGATTGTGGTTTAAGATGGTCACTTGCAGAGAATTTTTCATGTCGTTTAAGTATAGGTACATAAGGTAATTTTAGGGGTAGAACTGAGGAAAATAATAGAAATGCTGGTGCAGAAAAACTAGTTGCTGGTGGCGTTTTCGACCCAGTTGTAGTGGGATACAAGATGTGAGTAATTGGGTTTGGGTGGGGGAGAAAGACTAACTACCAGACAGATTTTATCTACCACAGTGATATTTGGCCTTAAGAGAATGAAAATGTTAGCAATATAGAAGTGTAGGTCTGTTCCCTAACAAAAACAACCCCAAAGAATATTTAGGTTTAATATTTCAATTTATGATATGAAATTGAATGTGGCCTTGAATTGGTCTAAAAACTTCTCTGGCTTCTTTCAGAGTGGGATATTTGCGGGGAGTTGGTTTGACATTCAGGCTCCAGTTTGGTCATTTCTGCGTTAGGTATGGATGGCTTCACCGCGTTTCTTTTCCTCTGCCAGGTGAGAAACCCTACCACTGTGACTGGGACGGCTGTGGGTGGAAATTTGCCCGCTCTGATGAACTGACCAGGCACTATCGCAAACACACGGGGCACCGCCCATTCCAGTGCCAGAAGTGCGACCGGGCCTTTTCCAGGTCGGACCACCTAGCCTTACACATGAAGAGGCACTTTTAAATCCCCAAACAGTGGATATGACCCACACTGCCAGAAGAGAGAATTCAGTATTTTTTTTTAATCTTTCACACTGTCTCCCCCCTCCCAACTCCGGGGAGGGGGGGAGGGGAGAAACCCTGCTGGAAAGCACTACAATCATGCTCAAGTTCCCAACAAGCCAACTTGTGAATGGATAATCAGGAGACACAAGGAAACCAGAAGACAAATCAAAGAACGGAAACCAGAAGACAAATCAAAGAACGGATATGGGGTCTGTGACTGGATCTTCTATCATTCCATTGCTAAAGCCAACTTGAATATTCCTGGACTTACAAAAACACCAAGGGGGTGACTGGAAGGTGTGGATATCAGGGTATAAATTAGATCCATGAGTTGGGGGGGAGGGAAGACCAGAATTCCCTTGAATTGTGTTCGACGCAGTATAAGCATAAAGATCACCTTGTATTCTCTTTGCCTTCTAAAAAGCCATTATTATATTTAGAAGAAGAGGAAGAAATTCAGGTACAGAAAATGTGTTTTTAATAACCTAAACGATGGTGCTTGGTGAGTCTTGGTTCTAAAGGTACCAAATGAGGAAGCCAAAGTTCTCAAACTGCTGCATACTTTGACAAGGAAAATCTATTTTTGTCTTCCGATCTACATTTATGACCTAAGTCAGGTAAATATGCCTGGTTTACTTCTTTAACATTTTTATGCAGACAGTCTGTTATGCACTGTGGTTTCAGATGTGCAATAATTTGTACAATGGTTTATTCCCAAGTATGCCTTAAGCAGAACAAATGTTTTTTTTTTCTATATAGTTCCTTGCCTTAATAAATATGTAATATAAATTTAAGCAAACTTCTATTTTGTATATTTGTAAACTACAAAGTAAAAAATGAACATTTTGTGGAGTTTGTATTTTGCATACTCAAGGTGAGAATTAAGTTTTAAATAAACCTATAATATTTTATCTGAATATTGCTTTTGCTCTGTTTCTCCTCTGGAAAAAGCATGTCCTAGAAATTTCAGTTTAAACACAGGCAGGCATGGGAAAGGCACACTGAAAGGCCAAACTTCATCTCGAGATAAAAGGTAAAGGAGGATGTTTTTAAGGCTAGTTTTACTGTGAGAACTATTGAAGTTGTGAGGCTGGAACCTATTGGAGATCATAGAAGTAAACTTGACCTGGTTCAGGTTGCTCTTTGTGTAAAAAGTACATGAAAGCAATTTTCTTACCTGAACATGAATTTCCAGGTAGACCCCACCCTGTCATTCTTCAGTATGCTCAATTTTTAATAGGAAAGTATTCATAAAATACATTCCAGTTTCATATTTTAAAAGATCCTTATGGTTTCTCTTTAAAATTAAATGAAAATATAAAAATCTTTTAGGGGCCCTGCCTTGCACTCAGAACAATTTGAGGAACAAAAGAAACTTCCCACTGCAGAGAACCCTAAGAACATAGTTCCACAGTGCCCTCCTGAGGATTAAAGGATTCATTTATGCTTCGTGTGTTACAGATAGAGTAGTTAACAGTCCTCAAGAGGTGTTAGAACCAAATTTTCTGGCAGAATGTTTTAAAATTTCATCCGTCTTATCTGCAAACTCAGCGGACTGAAATGCATTAATTAGAAAGTACTCCGTCACAAACTTACGGCGTAAAGTTTAAGTACATCTTTAAGTGGTGTTTTTGTAAGCTGGTTGCATATTTCTGAAGTTAACTCGGCTTTAAAACTGCACAGACCCTTTTTTGAGAGTGAGTACACAAGAGTTTGACTTTTGTTTGTGGAGGTTACAAAATGGAAGAAGCATTTGTGACCCTTGTTGGCAGCTGATAAATTTGTTATGGTGATGCGGGTGACCAACATCGTCAAGCAAACAAGCTGACACCTTCTTTAGGCTGCTTATTAACTATCCCATTATACGTTGTGTCCAAAGTGTGGGTGCATCTTATAAATAGAAAACAAATTCTTAAGAGCCTTACGGTGGATCAACATGAAGTATTTTCCTTGGCTTTCAAGAGTCCAGCATGACTGGAAAAACACGGCATGTGTCTTAGCTTAAAAGAAAACAGGTGCATCGATAGGATGGAATTTTATGTGGCCAAGAACATACTCAAAGCATATTTAATGACACAGAAAAATGCTCATGGTATGTTAAATGGAAAAAGCAGGTCCTAGGAGTATAAACAGTATGATCCTAATTGTATAACTTAGTGTATGTGCATTGAAGGAGAGAGGGAAGCACCAGAAACATTTTAAGAGGAAGGACTGGAAAGAAATAGCTAATACTAACACTGGCTTTCTCCATTTTAGATTTTCTACAGTTTCCCGTAGTTTCTGCAGTTTCTCTTTAACATGGGAAAACTTTTTAAGAATGCAGGTGCAAATATTTAGGCTTGATTTTTAAAAGCAGTTAAAGGCATTTAAGCAAGAAGCCTGGAACGCATTTCTCTGTTATATTGTGGTGGTTGCTCTTCTAATCCACCTTTCTCTTAACACACACACTTCTGGCACATGGTTGTGTATGAAAAATGTTTACTGAATGGCTGATAACCATCTTCATGTTCGCTAAGTGCTTATTACCTCAAATAGGAGAAACATCCCCAAATACCACAACATATTAATTAAAATGTTTCTGATATCACCGGGAAACATCACTTGGCGTTGACGTTTTCTAGCCTGAAAAAGCAAGCTTCAGTATCCAGATTTTCCAAAAATGGCGCAGGACAAAACTATTAACATGCACACACACACACAAAAACAAAACTATTTACTCTCGTACCTATCAGTTCTGAGAGCCGAGATGTCCTGTCATTACCACATTACAGAGCCATTTATACTGTATAATAAAGAGCACCTAACAATTGAGATGCCTGCTTATTACATTTTCTTATGACATTTAATTTTATATGTCCTAGATTTTAACTTGTGCGTGCGCACACACACACAAAAGATGAACAATGGTGTTTCCACCACATCAACATATCTTTTCAGTCTATCTCTTACTTGTCCAGTGAAATGTCTTTTCCGGCAAAATACACTACCTGAAAACCTGCTTAACTCCCTATCATCAATCCTGTTTCAGTTTGTTAGAACAAGAACCTTCACCATCTCAAATAGGATGGTCAAAGGGAATACTTTTTTTTTCCATTCAAAGACTGTTCAATTTTTAGAAACATGAAACATTTCATATTTGGAGATTAACAATTTTTACATGTAATTTCTTTACATGGGAGAAAGCCCAGGTGAGGCACTCCTTTTGCCACGGAAGCAGGTCCACAGGAAGAATATTAAAAGATAAGCAGGGATGGTACCTGTTTGATTTTGATATATGGGAGTATCTAAATTCAGCAGCCACCTGTTCTATTGTATGCTCCAGCTTCTGAGGCCCCATTCAATACGCCATCACACATACCTAAGTGAATTTGTAGTCTGTATTCTAGTTTCTGCCCCCCTTCCTCCTCTCTTAAACACATAGACACCAACCTTTTCAGTTTATGTATTCCATTCTTCCCTCATTTTACTTATTATATACTTTATGTATTCCATTTCTTCATATTAGCGCCTTCTAGAGGCTAGTGTATAGTGACATGTTTTTTTGTTTTTTGTTTTAATATTTTATTTATTTGTCAGAGAACACAAGCAGGGAGAGAGGCAAAGGGAGAGGGAGAAGCAGGCTCCCGGCTGAGCAGGGAGCCTGATGTGGGACTCGATCCCAGTCCTGGGATCATGACCTGAGCCGAAGAAGGAGGCTTAACTGACTAAGCCACTGAGGCACCCATCGTGACAGGTTTTTACAGCGCTAAACTGAATCTATGGTTCCTAAAGTTTGTTTATGAAACCATCATTCGCTGTTCACATGCAGTCATTCAATCATATTTCATATAGAACTACCAAGAGCTCTCTACCTGATGAATGCTGTGGAATGTATCACGGAATGTTCTACCTGTGAAAATGCAAATGAACTACTGTTAGAATCAGAATGCTCTACGAAAATAAAACCTTTTTTTTTTTTTCATATTAAGTGAAACTAAAACGAAAGTTGGAAACCAACACCCTTTGGAAGCCTTTACCTTAGAACAAAAAAGTAAATCTTGAGTAAATTTCTTACCATCTCCTGAAAAACAAATATTCTTAAACCCTGAGGAAGTTACCTAGAGCTTCAATGCCCTGGTTGTGGTCAAAACAGGGAGGAAACCAACAGCTGCCATATTAGCATAAACACAGAAACTCTTTCGGGCTAATATCTAGAAGGCTCCCAGAGCCAGTTAGCTTAGCTGGGCAGGAGGAGGGTGCCTAGGGTAGGAGCGTCAATCAGACTGCTTCTCTGGCATCATGTACATGGGGAGTCCACCTTTTTTAATTGTTTTCCACGATACCATTGATGTAACACTTTCGAATCGCTTTGGTCTTCTCTGGCACCCTAGACAACTCAGCATGTTGCCACCTGCCCTCCTGAAAGTCCTCCACTTGTTCTTAAAGGAAAAGGAGGAAATAAATACAAACGCAACTTCACAACCGCGGAAAGTAACTTCACATTTCCGGGATCCTTCTGACATCCGACTGCACCTAGCACAGCATTTTTCACTCATACTGCACAATAATTATAATGGTCCCCTAAAGTGGGAGGACCATTTGTCATCCTTTTATGTATCATGTCCATCGTATGTGATCCTCTAAACAGAGCAAAAGACGAGAATAGCTCTTTATGTAGACATAGGTAGGTAGGTAGATAGACCGACTGATGGATGGGCCCTCAGGTGGAGGTTTGGCAATGATCTGAAGTCAGTGAGGGCAAACAGTCAAACCTGTCCAGCCCAGGGGGGGTTGAGTAGGATTCTAAAACCCATGTCACCTACGCTGTTTCGATTTGTACTCACTGGCACTGAATCAGCAGGTTACTGAATAGTGGCTGAACCCCTGAGACTCAGATGCTGTATCTGCATACCCACTTAGAAGCTAAAAGAGGAAAAAAAAAACCCAACTAAAATTGGTAAAGAAAACTTTACAGAGCTACTGAAGGAACTCTAGATACACTCGCTGAAAGCTAGGGAGGTAAATGAATCTGTGTCAGCCACAGGCAGAGTCCCTTAGACACGACAGATGGAAGGGACTTCCAGGAAGCATGTATCCTGTCTGATCAGGTCACTTTTCCCTGGTATATAGTAACCCCTTCCTTCTGCATACCCCGGTGACACCTCTGAAGCCTGTACACTTTCCTTTACCTCAGTAGATCCTCACAACAGAGGAGGGGTGGTAGTTCCCTCTCCCACCTCCATTTTTATGAAAGGGGAAACTGAGGTTCCGTTTACAAGTTAGTGTTTGATTTTTGTTTCTCATTCTTGTTGACATACTCAAAGCATTTTTCTCCTGATACTTCCATCCTCAGTCTGCTGGGCAGGTAAGGTTACATGCAAAATGGATATACCCCAGTTTAGAAGGATTTGCCGATATCCAGGTTCTTCCAATAAATCCTTTAAAAAGTAAAAAAAACCCCAGACATTCTGTCTCCCAACCAATGTACTATTTCGAGGGAGTCTGACAGGGAAGCCCGAGTTTCCCACAGATGTTTCTTAAGCTGGTCTCTACACCAAGAGCAAAATCTATACTTTGAGTTGGAGGTGGATGAAAAAGTTCCTGTTTTGATCCCCAGTCCTGGCCTAGCACATGGCTCTCCTGTTCAAACAGATCTGGCCACCCCTTCCCCTACTCCTTAATGTCCCATGGTCCCCAGTTCCTGGTGGATAAAGATTTAACATGGTCAGTCTTCCAACTGTGGCCACTACCAAGTGTCCAGTATTTTCTTCTTAAATATCCAATCACTCCTTAATTGTACCAGCTGTGCTAAACTACTCTTGACCCCCAATGTAGATGTGGGTCTTTGCTTGCTGAGGTGGGTCTCTAATGCTTCTGGAAAAACCCATAGTCCCCTGACAAGCTCCTATTTAATCTTCAAAGCCCAGCTTTTATTAAAAATCTCCTTCATTTCAATCGATCTAGATCTTTCATTAAACTCTTATCCTCACATATTACAAGGTTTTATGGGTCTGGTTCCTCCAACAGAAATGAGTTCCTGGAGGGCACTGGAAGCTTCCCTTATTTGCTTTTGAATACCCAGAATTACTGGATTTAATTGAAAAAAAAATTAATCGGTTATGGAATAGTTAGCCCCCAGTCCTGGCATCTCTCTTCAGAGGACTCCTTCTTGCCAGGTGAATTTCTGCTTTGATTCTGGAAAGAATTTTGTTCATTTAGGGGTTTTTGTGATTTGGGGGAGGCAGATGGGTGTCAGGAGACCCACAGGAAACAAGGGATCACTGGACATGGCCTTCAGGAAGCCAGAATTTGGAAGCAGTTCCCAAAAAGGCAATGTTTTATCCTTATTCTTGGAGGTCTACTGTGCCTCTCTTCAAGAACAAAATTGTAAGTGTCCTGTATACCTATGACAATGAAGTATTCTTTCTTCTTTTTTTTTTTTTTTAAATCACACTTTAAAAGCTTAACAAAGGGAGGCCTGGGTGCCTCAGTAGGTTAAGCATCTGCCTTGGTCTCATGATCCCAGGCTCCTGGGATGAATCCCACATAGGCTCCTTGCTCAGTGGGGAGCCTGCTTCTTCCTCTGCCTGCCATTCCCCCTGCCTGTTCCCTACCCCTCATCCCCCAACCTTGCACGCTCTCTGGCAAATGAATAAAATCTTTAAAAATAAATACAAAGAAAGAAAGAAAGAAAGAAAGAAAGAAAGAAAGAAAGAAAGAAAGAAAGAAAGAAAGACAGGCTTAACAAAGACACTTTACAGGATCCTGGGTGAGCCTGTCCATCCGAATAAGGGAGGGTCAACCGCTGGTGGCTGTGAAACCACCACCCACCTGGTTTGCTCCTCTTCAAGCTTGAACTCTCCTTCCTGCTTGCATGACAGCAGTTTTATGACTTTTGAACATGTCTAAGTAAACTGAATCTAGAAAATCCTGCAGGAAGTTGTCAAAGTGCCTCCTCTCAGCCTCACAGAGGAATGGGGAACGGACTGCAAACCCTAAAGCTAGAAACTAACATAGATTTTGAAATAAATAAATATATAAATAAAATTCCACTGACTTTCTGAGCTGGAAAGTGTCTTCAAGACCATTCCACTCCAGGAGAAAATGGAGGCCCATCTAAAAAGCTAGGCTTGCCCAAGGTCACATCAAGTTCAGATCAGAACACCAACCACTAATGACCTCATTTGGGGTCAACAGGCCAGCAGCTGAAGGCTGTATCCTGAGGACCCAAGGGAAGCTTAGAGGGGCATAAAGAATTTTTAAAACACCATGCAAAAAGGATGGTTTTAAAAGGAAAGTTCTGGTGCTCGCTTTGGCAGTCCATATACTAGAATTGGAACAACACAGGGAAGATTAGCAGGGCCCCCTTGTGCGAGGAGGACATGCAAATTCTTGAAGTGTTCCATATAATAAGGGGGGGGGGAGACAGGAAGAAAGGAAAAATAACCCAGAGGGAATAAAAAACATTCTCAATTCAGTGTCACATTGTGAGCTGAGGTCCAAAAAAGTATTTGATTGCTCTCTCTAGTACTTCTAAAGTACTATCAGCCAGCTGAGTCAGGTACTATAATATTAACCCCTGTTTCCTTCTACAGAGGAACATAGGAGCCATTCCACAGAAGTGTTAATATATACTTCTGGCTTTGTTCTGCTTCTTTCTCTTCTCCTGCAATTCCGTTCAAACATATATAATCTACCTACTTGACCAGCCACTGGTGCAAAGGGCAGGGGAGCCAAAGGTGAATAAGAAAATGTAAATACGCAAGTCTGCAGATATATTTCCTCCTGGTAGAACTGCCCCACGGGGGTATAAAATGTGACTGCAGTGAAAAACCAGCCAGTAAAAATTGTTTACCTCTCTTAGAAAGTGATTGGATAGTTCTTTGACAGATTCAACCACACGAACTACAATGACAACACCATTTTTTTCCCCCACAATTTTCTTGATTGCTTATTGTTCTGGATACATCCAACTTGTTTATCAGGTGCATGCTAAAGCATGTTAAAACGTGTTATTCAGGTTTAGCATGAACGTCTCAGCCTTATTCAACAAAATATTTCGAACTTCTGTTGGAATTAATGATTCAGGCAAAATGAAACTTAATCTGCAAACCAAGACACCTTTCCATGGTTTTGAAGATTGTATATCTAGACCAGGGGGACAACCTGATTTTGTTAGGCACAATTAACTTTATAGCTAGGGAGCATAACTGACATCTAAGGCTCTTTTGGTGCCAAAGCTTGTAGAAACAGAGGAGTCTTTGCCTAAGGGATTCTTTGCATTAAAGACTTTGTTAGGCAAAGCCACTCTGGCTTGGGAGTCTGATTTGCAATTTGTGCCTTTGTAAAAGGATTAGAAGATCCCTATTGTTTAATGTTTGGATCTCAATTTGCATTTGGAAATGCGTGACCTCTTCAGAGTTCTTCATTTTCATTTTCTTGTCCTGATACACAATCGATACTGTGTGTTAAAAAAATCGATAAAACTGCTTAGCCAAAGTTTGCACTGATTAAAGGAGTGTAATAGATTGATTTTCTCTCTGAATGGTGGAATCTACTTGGGCTCCAGCCATACTGATGGAGTAATCAATCTATTTAGGAACTGACAAGTAATTCATAGGATATAGGTACACACATATTTCATTTATTTCCTTAATCAGAATGCACGGGCACTTTGTTTAAAAACAACCAACCAAAAAAGAAAGCACTACGGTGGTCCAATTGGACACTGGGTCTACAAAAGGAAATAACAAGAAAAAAAATCCTCTGACTGCCTTGGGACACATTTGAACACTTCTGTCAAACGTCTCCCTTTATAAATAAAGGTTAGAGAAAAATTATTTTAGGTTTGTGATAACAATACTCTCCGCTGTACACACTATTTAATTACCTGTCCCTTGGTAAACAACTTTTAACTAATATTTGCTTTGACAATATTCCCAGATTGGCAACATAAAACCTAGAATAGAAACTGCGTGAGGAGGGATGATTTCTTAGATTGCGGGTTTAGGACGCGTGGTTTATTTGTTTGTTTTCTTTTTAACTCTTTAGTTTCTTGCTCCTTTATCATCACTGACCGCAGGAGAACATTTCTTGTGCGTCAGGATGAATGTGCTTGGCACCAGGACTTGGAATTGTTGACTGTATGAGCTGGAGGTTGATGAAAAGTATTCACATTCATAGAGCACCGATGATATGTCCAGGATTTGGCTAGATGTTTAAGAATTTGTTATCATACCCATTTTGTAGTGGGCAAGACTGAGGGCCACAGGAGTCAAGTGACTTGCCCAAGGTCATACCCTCCCCTGTGATCAGAACCCAGGTCAACCTGGCTCCTAGTCCCAGGCTCTTTCTGCCACATCACAACTGCCTCCCAGATAAAGTAAAGCTAATTTCATTTGAAGGATTATCTGCTCCTCACCTCCTTGGAATGTGCTTATTTTTTAATCTAAACAGGGGATATGTTTGGTGCACAGGAAGCTACATGGACAAGACTGACCTAACCCATCCCTCTTGCTAATAGAAACAAGTAATCTTATCTGTCATTCTATTAAAAATACACTGCATTCCTCTATGATCCAGTTCGGAGAATGACTCAAGAAAGGACAATCTGTTTCTGCATCACAGCACCCCCACAGCCTCTATAAAATCAAGAGTAAATAAGCCATTGCTTTTCCTCTCAAATATTTCATTCAACGATTCCAGAGCGCTTTGTACATGTAACCAATTAGAATAAAGACCTGGAGCCCTCTTGATAGCACAGCCACTTGGAAGTAAGCCAAAGAAAGTCTCTGTTGCTGAAGAGCTCGCACTTTGTAGCCCCCCTCAATGGAGAACACCGCCGGACGGTGATGTTAGCCCAGGGGAGTGGCCTGTCGGCATGCAGTGCCTTGAGCCCACGTTCTCAGTCTCGTCCCATGGGAGACACTCCCGCTTTGCCACCTTCCAGAACGCTCTGCCAACAAACATTCTGCTGCTGCTCCCAATATCTAAAGATAATCCTCTTTCCCCTAAACGGGATCTCAACCTAAAATAGATCTGAGTATGTGCTACAGGGCATGAACAAATGACTCAGAGGGCCATTTCAGATCTCAGAGGCAGGGAAGACGCTTCACAGCACAGGGGCAAAGCCTGGAAGTTAGCTCGTACTCAAGGAACAAACCAGAGACAGCTGGAAAGAAGTTCCAAAGAACGTGTCACCTGAAGGCTCCTTCGCTCAAGGGAGAGGGCTGAGGCTTAAGTACCCCACAGTTACGTCACTGCAGGACCTTATTCTGGCCTGACTTCTCCAGGTCTTCATTCTCAGCCTGCACATGAGGCCATAAATTAACAGACAAGGCCCAGGGGTCCCCTAACCTAGGCATAGGTGGCAAATGGACATATTTAAAAAAAAAATTTCACATTTAAATTCAATTAATTAACATATAATGTATTTTTAAAATTTATTTGACAGAGATCACAAGTAGGCAGAGAGGCAGGCAGAGAGAGAGGAGGAAGCAGGCTCCCCACTGAGCAGAGAGCCCGATGTGGGGCTTGATCCCAGGACCTTGGGATCATGACCTGAGCCGAAGGCAGAGGCTTTAACCCACTGAGCCACCTAGGCGACCCATATAATGTATTATTGGTTTCAGAGGTACAGGCCAGTGATTCATCAGTCTTATATAATACCCAGGGCTCCTAGGGCACCTAGGAATTAAGCCTCTGCCTTCCGCTCAGGTCATGATCTCAGGGTCCTGGGATTCAGCCCTGCACTGGGCTCTCTGCTCAGCGGGGAGCCTGCTTCCCCTTCTCACTCTGCCTGCTGCTCTGCCTACTTGTGATCTCTCTCTCTCTCTGCTAAATAAAAAAATAAAATCCTTAAAAAAAAATAACCAATGCTCCTTACATCACATGCCCTCCTTAATGCCCATCACCCAGTTACCCCATCCCTTAAGCAGACAGGTTTTTAATGTGTGGATGTGATTCAGCATCAAGGATGTCAGAAGGGAAATGAGTCTTTCCTAGAAAATGTGTTGATTTGGCACATTTTCTATATTCAGGTTTTGTTCTGTTGCTGTTTTATGTTTCTCCTTTTGTTCATTCGTATCATCTGCCTTTGGTTTGTATTCAGTTCTCAGTGTTCAACAGTAGGGCAATGGTTAAGTAAATCCTAGCACATCCTTTGAATGGACTACCATGCTCTATTAAAATGATCTGGTAAATGATAATAAATAAGACCTAACACTTATTGAGATTTACTGCATGCCGCTCCTATACTTAACATTTTACATACATTTTTTTTCGTTGAATTCCCACAATGACCCTGTGAGACAGGCATATCATTCCCCTCATTTTAAGGCTGAGGAAGCTAAGGCAACGAGAGCCTAGAATCCCAAAACCATTGAGCACTAAGGCTGGCATTTAAACCTGATCCTACGGAGTCCCATATTTTTTGTTTTGTTTTGTTTTTTAAGGTTCTCTTTATTTATTTGTCAGAGAGAGAGAGAGAGAGAAAGCACGAGCAGGGAGAGCTGCAGGCAGAGGGAGAAGCAGGCTCCCCGCTGAGCAGGGAGCCTGAGGTGGTTTCAGTCCCAGGACCTGGGAATCATGACCTGAGCAGAAGGTACTTAACCAACTGAGCCACCCCAGGCATCGTGAGTCCCAGGGTCTTGAGCCATATATTTTCCTACACACAAAGAAGAATGTTCTGACGTTAACGAGATGGGGAAACGCTATATAGTAAGATCCAACTTGGTAAAACAGATTCACGTTGACGTGTTTTGGGGGATATTCCCATTGAGAAAACTCTAGAAGGACCACTCAAAGATCAATTCCTTGGGGCAGCCTTCCCTGACCATATTAAAGCCATCACACCCTGCCCCTGTTATTCTCGATCTCATTCACATGCTCGATCTCTCCTCATGGCACTTCTCGTTACTTGAGATGTAACATATGCTGCATCCGTGTGTTGTCTAGCTCCCCTTTAGAATGAAGGATAGGACAATTTCTACTAAAATGCCTGCCATGTTGCAGGTACTCAATAAATATTTGTTGAGTTGAGTAAGTGCACCAAACCCTAATGTTGGTGGTTTTCTCCCCCCTCTCACTGTCAAAGAGGAACAATTTAGATTCTCTTTTCTTTTTAAGTAGGCTCAGCACCCAGTGTGGGGCTCGAACTCATGACCCTGAGATCAGGAGTCTCATGTTCTGCCAACTGAACTAGCCAGGCGCCCCAGAACAATTTAAGTTCCTGATACTTAAACGGATTAGGCTTTTGTTGTTGTTGTTGTTATTGTTTCATTTAAATCCTGAGTTAAAAAGAAAACAAAATTCATTCCACTTAAAGATCAAGAAGCTAAAACGGTCTCCTTCAAAATGTAAAAAGTTGATTTCCCCATAGTGGAAGGTTCTTTCAATGGCAGGAGGCCACTGG